GGGGAAACTAGTGTGATGTCCATGCAATTTAGTGTGTTCAGCTGTCACAGACTGTCAGCACTGGCGGTGCTCGTGCTTCTGTTCCACTTCACTTTGTGGGTGAGATAAGAAAGAGGGACTTTGGACAGAGCCCAGCTCAATGCAGGGCTTTTTCACCTCTGGAGCCTACCTTCTTGAAACTGCAGCCTGGGAGTCTGCTTGACATCCCTGCTGTTTTTCAAAAGGTCTAAGAGAATTCTAGTCTGCCTTCATCCTTGTTTCTCTTTGACTTTAGAGAATACTTAAAACAATTTACTAGTATCTATGGTTTGGGAGAAAGTTTTTTCAAATATAAAATCAAGCTACACATAAATGAAAGAAGCCAGGTATCTCATAGTCTGTAGTTATCATGGAACCAGTTTATTTCGCACCTGCCTGTATAAATCTGAAACCTGGCTAGTGTGTATGCCTGTTTCCTATTGCTAATGTACACTCTACAGACGGAACTTCGTTCTATTGAAGTACTCCTTATTCTCAGAAGAAATAATGTGCTGAATCCATTCGTATGTTATTCAAAACATGATAGCAGGGCCTCCCCTGGTGGCGCAACGGTTGAGCGCTGGGCTGCAAAGGGCCCGCAGCCTCTGTAGTGCTGGTTTGATTCCCGGCGAGGGTCCCACATGGTACGCAGACCTCTCCTGCTGCGCCCACTGCTCCCCTCAGCAGTGAATTTTGTCAGTCTGCCTGTTCTGTTCCCCACTCTGGCTCTGGTGAATTCTCTCATCCTCCTATGCTTCTGACTGTACCCAGTGCTTGTATAAATAAATAAATAAATCTTTAAAAAAAAAAAAAAAACCAAACAACATGATAGCAGAACAATGGCTCAGGTATCAAGGTTCTGGCTAGTGCTCCAGTTCTTGTGTGTATTTGGTATTTGTGGCCTGTACTTTATGCTCCTTCTTAACTTTGTGTGATACAAGGGCAATAAATACTTTCTTGTCTAGCTTTGGGTTCTCACCATGGAAACATCCAAGCAACAGCTGTGCTCTGTTAGATGTCCTTTCATCCTCAGGACTGACAAGAAACGTTTTGAGGGAACTTAAAAAAAAAAAATTGGTGGGTATCAAAACTCTCTTTTTAAGTGAAATCGTTGCTTCTGTTGGTCAGTTATGTGTCCGAACTCATTAAGATCACTAATTGCATATTTTCAAATCTCACTTGGACCATTGGTAACCTAGAAACAGCCTTAAGGTTAACAGAAAGTGTGACTCATTGTGAGGCCAAATACAAACTTACCAAGTAAGTATTGGCTAACGGGAGCTCAAGGATGCACTTTCTGTTATAAACTTGAAATATTTGTGTGAAGTATCTTTTTATTGGATTATGAAGTGCCATGCATTTTGCAGAGCTAAATAGGGTATTTAATACATATGCATTTCTTCTAGACCTTAGGATAGAACTTTGTAACTAATGACTACAAATGACCTACTGGGGGTCCCAGTAGAAACAAAGCAGAAAGAGTAACTCCAGCCTGGGAGAATGGCTCCAGGAAGGATTCTGAAGCTGAAATGCCTTGGTGTTGGATGGATAGGCCAATAGACCTGTTAAATTGGGGGCTGGAGTGGGTAGGTTCAAAAAGAGAGTGTAGAATGAAGTTGTAGAGATGATAGAAAAATGGAACTTAATGCTAAGGTTAGTTTATATGTTTGAGCAGGAGACTGTCGTGTGCAAAATTCCATCTTGTCTTCTGGCCAATTAGTCCTTGGCCTTTAGAGTTTTGCTCCAATAGCAATGTGGAAGTTTTTTTTCACTTTCCAGGCCACTTAGCACCTCCCATCCCATTTGAATATTTCCTGTTGCAATTGTTTAATGTCTTTCTTTCCCATAAGCTTGTAAATTCCAAGTGTGGAAATCTCTTTTAAACACTATAGCCCAATATTTTGTGCAGAGCAAATGCTCAATAAATATATTTAATAAAAGGAGAGAGAACTCTTATTCCATATTTAGAATGCTTTGCTCTTTCAAAAGAGCAAAAGCATTTTTTTTTATTTGTGGGAAATCTGTATCTTCTGCTCAATTTTACTATGAACCCAAAAACTGCTCTGAAAATATAATTTAAAATTCTTAATGATACAGAATCAGATTAATCCTAATTCTTAGTTTATGATGCATTATCATCATTGGTTCATGTGTGGCCCTCTCTTAGTTTATATAAAATTTACTTATTGATGTAAAGAACACCAATGAGAAGCCTAGTGAAAAATCCAGAGTGTTTCCTCTAACTTATCTGTGTGCTTCCAACTTTCCCATCTCTGGACCTAGGTAACCAACAATCTTTTTTTTTAATACACTTTTTACATCATTTTTCATTTTTGTACCATGTATACATTTTCATCTGGGTTATAGTCCCCATGAAATTCCTACCACCCATTCACCTGCTTAAATATGTATTGTTACCTTGAGGGTTATTTTTTATTATCAAACATATGTATAGCTAAACATACCAGTACAATCTTGCCTTTTTTGAACTTTGTAAAGTTCAAAATATAATATACATTATATTATATAATATACATTATAATACATTATAATATAATATATATTATAATATATAATATACTATATTATAATAATACATTATAATATAATATACATTTTATACAAAATATAATATACATTATATTGTATATTCCTTCTTGCACTTGTTTTTTTCATTCTACATTGTGCTTCTTATATTCATCCACATTGTCATGTGAAGCTAAAGGTCATCCATCTTCACTGCTTGGAATAAACTACAGTCTATCCTTTTTCCTGTTGGTGAACATTTGGGTTATTTCCAATTACCAACAGTACTTCTGAGAACATTCTTAGACTCACATACAGGTGCAGGAGTGTGTCAGTATCGCTAGGGAGGGTTTCTCAATTTAGGCACTACTGAAATTTTGCATCTGATACTTCTGCACTGTGGGAGGCTATCTTGTACATTATAGGATGTTCAGTAGTATCTTTGACCTTGACTACGTGCTGCTAGTACCTCCTCAACTATGACAGCTGAAAATGTCTCCTGACATTGACAAATGTCCCCAGTGTGAGGGTGGGGGTTGAATCACCCTGGTTCACAACCACTGTCCTACAGTGTAACAGTGCCACCTAACAGTGCCATTGCTAGGTTATGAAACCAATGTGTAATTTTACAACACAGTGCTAATTGTTTTTCCCAAAGTGACTATACCAGTGCATACCCTATCAGCAAGATCTAATAGCCAATTGATCTACAGTCTCTTCAGTGTTCTTGTCAGACTCTTTATTTTACCTAATAAATATATAATGGTGTCTCATTGTGGCCTTATATTTTCCTGATTTATGATGAAGTGAAAATATCTCTTCATGCAAGTTTTTTGACCATGATTATGTGTTTTGTCTCCTTTAAGAGTTGTGTTGTTAAAAATATATTTCACATGAACATTGTTGTTTTTAGTGGAATTGACATGCCTTCTCTGAATTTGTAGTTTGACTTGTCCTCATCCTGATTGCTTTGGTCCCAGCTTTAATGCTGTTTTTAATGCTTTTATTACACATTTGAAACACTCATTTTCCTTTCTGTTTGTTTTCTGAAGCCGAGAAAATGTGACATCAGCTTTGAGACCCATATTGGGGAAAGCTAAGCTGGCTTTCAAGGAAACTATGCCCTGTGGTCAATTAGGTTGTTGGCCTGTGGATCTCTCTTCCAAAGGGAAAAGTGTACCTCAAGACTAGGACTGTTTGTAGTAAAAATGAAAAATCCTGATTGTTTCAGAACATGCCTGTGCCTTATCTACTGAAAGTAAGCAAAATTACCCTAGAGGTACTTTAGCTTAGACATAAACAGAATTATTCTTTAAGAGAAAATTCAGCAAGGGAAAAGCACTGTCGTCTGAATTCTTTCACCTTGAATACTATCAGCGTAAAATATATTTCTGTTTCACTAATTTCATCATAGTGTAAAACAGTAAAATCAATCATAGACCGCCCTGTGCCCTATGAGAGGGATATATCATAGAATACCTTTTGGCAGGATATATCACAGAATACCTTTAAGGCCTTGGTATAGGCAAACACTTTTAAAACAGGACACAAAATGATTAGTATACCATGAAAAAAAAGATAAATTGGACCTCATCAAGAATAAGAATTTTGGTTTATTAAAAGACACCATGAAGTGGATACAAAGGCAATTCACAGAGAGGAAAAACATATTTGCAGAGCATTAATATGAAAAGGACTTGTATCCAAATTATATAAATTTTACCAATCAAAAAGATAACTTCTTCATAAAAAATGAACGAAGTGTTTAGATACATCCAAAAAGAGGATATCTAAATGGATGGTGAAAATATTACAATGAGCCTAACTTCATTAGATATCAGGGAAAGAAAACTAAAACCACACTGAAGCATCACTACATGCAGATTAGATGTCTAAAACTGAAAGACAAAAATATCAAATCTTGGCAAGTGTATGGAACAAACAGCATACTCATATACTGCTTTTGGGTATGCAAATTTATCCAATCATTAAAAAAATCTGCTTAATGGTTTCTAATAAAGATGAAACCAAGCACATCCTATGACACAGAAATCTCATCCCTATTGATCGATCGAGATCTATTGATGTCTGTCCGTCCGTCCGTCCATCCATCCATCCATCCATCCATCCATCCATCCATCCATCCATCCAGGGCCAGAAGCTTCTCTGAATCACCTGTATGGGGAGGTGGGGGAGGAATGGGGAGAGAGCAGGGTAGTGGCATGCAGCAAATTTGACAAAGACATCTGGTTGTGGTAGGTTATTATGTCTTCACCCCATATTTAAATTTCCCATTCTCAGAACTTTCTTTTCTCTCCTAATAGGTTGAATGTGCTCTTTTCATTTCAGCCAGTTTTTTTTTCTCCCTTTGTTTCATCCTCCTCTTTGTCTGTAGTGTTTATCTCACTTTTCCGTCTTGTCTCTGTGTGTATTTCTCTTTTCTGGCCTTGTCTCAGGCCTCAGGAGGAGGAGGAGGAGGAGGAAGAAGAAGAGGAGCAGCCAGTCACGGAGCCCAATTCAGAGGAAGAGAGAGAGGACGATGCCTCTGCCGCAAGTCAGGGCAAGGACAGGTACAGAGGGTCCAAGTGCCTGGACCCTCCCAGGCTCCTACTAAAAGCCAGAGGCACCTTCCTAGTAGAGAGTCTGCATTCACTTTTCAGTAGTCTCCTCCCTTCTGCACTAGCTCCCACTGGCAAATCTTTACTGATCCTGTACACAGAACCACAACTAATGTCATAGAAATAACTGAAGATGTTTTCATCAGAGAATGGCACTTTTCATTCAAATGCTGTCTACTTAACCATGTTTAAAGGAAACATTATCCAATTGGTCTTCTCCCCACTATTCCCTTCCTCACTGAGTGCTTTTGCTCAGTCACACTGAGAGCAACTTAAAGGATCTCCATGTCTGTTCAGAAGGCTTTAACACTTTAGCAGTGTAGTAAGAATAATTTTGTGTGTCCCCTTTTTCCTACTAATTTTACCAGTATAGTAGATGAAATGTGTGGGTAGCTACTGCATTAATGATGCAAGTTTGTTTTTTATTCAAATGGACAAGAACACTTTGCACCCCATAGAGCACAGGAAAATGTCCCAATATTTATTTTCACACCCAGAACAGCTAACAATCTTATCACCCTTACTGTCCTTTGTTCACCAATCTAAGATCATTGTTTTCCTGTCTTCATACAATATTATCAGGCACAGGCATTTGCACACATTTTTTTAAATTTTGTAGGATTTTTCCAAAATGATGCCTAAATAAAAATAAAAATTGATCACAGGTAATTGTATTTTATATTCAAAAATAATTCTAAAATTGAATAATCCCTTCACTTAATTGCTACTTGAAATTGACATTTTCACTGTGAGTGTTTCCACAAATAAGCAAAATCAAAAGGATCTTGAATGAATTCTGGTAAAATCTTTCTCTTACAAACTTCAAAATCAGTGTGATTCTTTGTTGCTGCATCCTCATTCTCCAGGCCACCAGGGCAAATGAAAGCCCTCTAGCAGACTCACTTGACATGTTGAGGAGCCCACTTATTCCTGGGGTCTTGGAGCCTTCTCTGAGCTAACAAAATAATAATTAATAATTTCCCCCTTTGGAAATGCTGGGAAGAAATAAGCAGGGTAGAGAGAGAAAAGGAATGATCTGGTGACCGTGTACATAGCCCATTTCAGAATGAGAGGGGGAAAAGTTGATATTAATAGAATCCCTTACCTGTGCTTCATGCCCTGCTTGGGTATAGTGACTTTTTCAGCTAAGAGTGTTCTGGAGGGAGGGAGGTTAGTTGACATTTCTAGCTCAGGTTGAAAATTAGGCACAGAAAATAATGTAAACCTTTAATAAATACACTGATAGAGGTTGACATGCTTCAGTGTACAAGTTCTGTCCCACCGACACAGACCCTTCAATCCTGAGTGACTGGCATGGTTCAATACCTACAGACTAAATGGATAAATCTGGCCACAAAGGGCAACCTTCAAAGTCATCCATGTTGATTCTGTATCTTAACCAGATAGATAGTTGATTTTCCTACACTCTGAAGTGTCTTTGATACATGAACTGATGTTGGAGGCATCCTTGATTAATTACATTAGTTAGGCTTTCCAGTTTTAGTGGATAAAGGCATGCATATTAAACACCAGAATTTGGCCTTGACCATACAAAGCATTCATTGACATTAATATGGATCCCATGTGTTCCCTGGCATAAACCTATTACACTTTAAAGTGACGATAACAGTTTCTGCCCACTTCTGCCTAGTTGGTGTCTTTCACTATTGCTCACCTTCCTGTTGGCTGCTGCTTTTTGTGTGCCCACTGCATGTACCTGTGATGTGTGTGCATTGTGTGTGTGTACTGCATGTGCCAGTCTGGTTCTGAATGTGTCAGTATAGTCTCATCCTGACCTCATAATCAGCCAGGGAAATCAGTATGTCCCCGGATGGAGTTCTGAATTTGAGGTAGGAAGGAAAATAGTTCACATTCCATTCCCAAATGGGCATGACCAGGAGTCAAGTTCTGAAGGAAAGGGACTATGGTTTTAAAAAATATAAAATTTAACATAGGTGCTCATGTTATAAAGTTATACATCAAATTATGGAAGTGGTCTAAGTCCAGTGCTCTGAAGATGAAATGTTTTATAACTGTAACTGATAAAATTAAACCTACTTTCAGGAATTTAGATGTCAAAGGCTTAGTGGTAGAGGAGAACCTGGGGAAAGTGTGAAATTTGACTTCATTATGCCACCCCTCCTTTGGGGTTCCTTACATTTTTTGTTGAAATTTGCTCTTACCTCTTATCCTTACCCACTTTCCAGAAAGGCTCTAAAAGCAGTTACTGAAGTAGAGGGCTGGTAGCATCCCATTTCCTCATGGTTGGGCTTTTTAGGAGGACAGATCCTCTGCTTGACCAAGATAAAGTAATGATGTTCAAATGTTGGAAATTCAGGTGCTAGCACAACCATAGTGATGCAGAAGTGGGTGTCCTTGCAAAGACCTTTGGCCAAGTGGGTCTTACCTCCCAGATTGGCCAGCCCAGGAATATTGGACAAACCAAATTGTCTGGTGTTGGGCTTTTATGCTCTAGCTGGAAAAACACAGCTGGATTCTGAAGTAAGTGGTTGTGGTGAAGTAGTGGGGTTTTACATGATGCCTTTTCTCTTTCCTAACATTTCCTCCCTTTCTCCCAAATCTCTTTCCTTCCCTTTCTTTCTCCTCTTTTTCTCTCCTCATTGCTGGTCCAGCAGCCAGGTCAGCCCTGCCCCAGAACAGAACCCCACAGGGAAGGATGCTGCTCCCCAGAGTTCAGCCCTGTCCACTGCCTCCAGCACCACCTTGCAGGGAAAGCAGCTGCCGGCCAGCACAGCAGTGGGGATCCCCTTATGCTGTGGGTCCTCTGGGCCTGTCCTGCTGTCACCCCCACCCCCTGCCTCAGCCTCTCGGCCCTCCTCCACTGCACCTGCCCCCCCGAAGGCGTCACCTACCATAGAGAAACTGCCCTACGTGCCCCATACCCCCTTCCACCTTTTCTCCTATGACTTTGAGGATTCGCCCATATCCACCAAGGAAAAGGAAGCCGAGTCCCAGAAGGAAAACAGGTAGATGCCACTTGCATGGAGGTTAACCCCGGGGAAGTCACACAGTGTGCTAACTGTTTTGTCCAATGTGGCCTTGCGCCGGGTTTGTGTGGATTCCAAGCAGAACAGAGAGCAGTTGACTAACATCATGACCACTAACTAAATTTCCTGTGTTTAGGCAAGAGGCAGGAGAAAACTGTCATCTGTTCGAAGGAGCTCTTTCATTATGTTACAACTACTAAAAGTGGATTTTAAGCAGAAGGTTTTAAAACAAATGCGTGGTCTGTGAGCATCTGTGTGGTTTGTACCCATCTATCTAGCGTAGGGTCTCTTTTGACTTGTGGGGTGCAGCCAAGTGCTTTACCATGACTCCTGGCAATGTTTTGAGTGAGGTTTCCTTTAACAGTTCCTCTGACTCTGTCCATTTGAGTGTATATTCGGCCTCTGAGCCTTACAACTTCCGGTCTTTCTCTTCTAATAGGTGAGTGATTTTCATTTTTTTCTTTTTCGTCACATTCTGACTTTACTCCAACATATGCATTTTTTCTTTTTGAAGATTACTCATAGTATCCCATGAGATGGCAAACAATTGCAGTTTGAATAACTCCATAGACATTAATATAATTATATCATTAAGGTGTGAACACTTCAATAGTTCTTATGGGGGTGGGGCAGAGGAAGCAAGGTGTGCAAATGAAAACTGCAGCAGCAATTTTTAGCAGGTGCTATTGGCTTGCTGATGTGCCTCCCTTTCACTCTTGCCTGGATTATAGGGTCTCTGTTAGAGGGAGGAACAAGGAACAGAGTTTGTATATTTTGAACATTCAATTGTCCAAAATCAATCACTAATGATAATGATGGTCACTAATGATAATGATTATTAATAATAATAATCACTAACATTCTTTGAATATGTATTAAGAGATAGGCCCTAGACTTTCCATGAAAATGGTGCTCTAAGGTATCACTCAACCCTGAAGACACAGGTTCTATTACTAACCCTTATTTGCAGTGAGGAAACCGAGACACAGGGAGGGGCTAGGAAGTGGGTTGTCCAGGTTAGCCTGCTCCAAAGTCTGGTCTTAATCTGCATATTGGACCAGCTCTCTCTTTGGCAGTCTGAGGTGGGTCGCTCCCCTTTCTGAGCTCATGTGCATATTACCTCTAAATACCAGGGGCTTATTCCCCGCCAGGGGGTCTTCAGGCAAGTCCATGGCAGTTTGTCAGAATCTGTGTCTTGGGGCTCCTTGACCTCAGCAAGAAGTTACACCTTGTCTTACACAAAGGCAAAGCTTGGACCTGCCAGGCAGTGCTTTCACACCAGGAAAGTGACCAGTTGCAGTGGGTATCAGACTTTTCATCCAACAGCATTCACCTAGAACTGTGGTCTTCAACATTTTTGACTTACATACAACCTAAAAGAATTTTGAAGCTTCCCTCAGAGTTTTAAGTAGCCTCTCTAAATTGTTTTTCTAATCATTAGTGAATAGTTGCAAGGGGTGTGATTTGTCTATTGTTTATGTGCCTTAAATTGATTTTTGCCAAAACCTGGGGAGCTTTAAATGTAATGGATGAAATTGTGGAAAACCCCTACGTATGCCCAGTTGGAAAGGCAGGCTTTGAGTCAAATGAAACTTAATTTCTATCAGAAAACGTCTGACATCAGGTTTCAATCCCAATAAGTTTAGTGTCTGTGCCTGTAACAGCCCCAGCACCTCTGAGGTCTGATTTCCAGGCAGGCTGATGGGCAGACAGAGAAGAGGAGGAGGCCCAGCTCTGACTTTGTCCCTGGGTAGACAGACCCCTGCTTTCTCCTTCTTTAGTGTTTCTTAAGGAATTCCTACAGGAGTAATGCTCCCTGTCTTCCTGATTCAGGTGGGGGAGAGAGTTCCCTTTGTTCCTAAAAGCAGAATGCAGTTCTAGAGGAAGAAAGGAGACTTGGGAGTTCCCCGGAAAGGCACAGCAAATCCATTTCAAGAAAGAGCAGATAAGAAATTTGAGGTTCTGAAAATAAATTTCATTTCCAGAATCACTCTGTATACCTCTGGGGGTATGTGCACTACAGTCTGAACACCTGCAAATACGGGTTCTGTACCAGTCTCTTCCAGGTCTGGAATTCGAACATTGTTGTGACTTTTCACACAGTTTTTGTGAAACACATCCAAGAGCCATAACTTGCCCTTCAAGCCCTAACTATGCAAGTTAGGAGCCTTACATTGTATTGGAATAAAAATATCTTGGCAGCCAACAGGGTGGCACTAGGCCATGGTGATGCTCCTAGGCTCTCTGGTGATGGTCTCACAGCCTCTGATGGGACTTTTCTGGGTCCAGGTTCCTCCCACTTGGTCTTTACTACAACTTACAGTCCTGGGTGATGGGAGCAATAGAAACATAGAAATTGCCAAAATGAATATACATGCCAACGAAGGAAAACAGCTACATTGCTTGTGAATGAGGACTGACTTAGGTTTAACTTTGAGAAGGTTACAAATTTTAACCATTTGTGAGACAGGAATTTGAATACTGTATAAATATTGTTGTACCCATTAACTTTCAGTGTTCATTCACTGTGTTTTTTGTGGGTGTCTACAGCCACAGATTTGATGGATTGGTGGTTGACTGCAATTGAATGGGTTATAATGGAGCCCAACCAGTTGGTCATTAAAAATAATCAAATAAGCAAACAAACAAAAACCTCCACCATAGTAAATAGCAAATTGGGTGAATCTTATGATCTGGCTAGTATGACTGAAATAGAGAAGCAAAGCTGAACAGACTGGGAGGTATCTGAACTCATTGCTCAGCCATTAGAAAAACCAAAGGAGGGAGAAATGGATTATGCTGGTTTTATTTCCATAATGTCATTTAAGCAGCATAATTTTAGTAAAGTAATTCTGTTAAAACATTCTACAGGATGTCCACTTTGGGTCAGAAAGGGATTGTTTTAGACGCCTGAGGACAATAGCAAGCTGAGTGTCCAGGCAGTGGGGTGGTCCAGGGTTGAAGCCCGAGTACAGGGTCTCCTGTCCCAGAGGACTGAGGATCCTGGGGCAGCCTCCTTCCACTCCCAAATGGCAGTGCTTGCTGCTTGCTGTCTCCCTTCTCTTTACTTCAGTGATTTTTCTCCCTTCTCTCTTCTTCCTTTCTTTGAATGTTCCATCAATCCATCTTTCACTTTTCTCCCTGGTCTGTGATTTGGGTGCTGCCCTCTTGAAAAATCAAACCAGCACATACTTGGAGAAACAGCTAACCTGTTGAACACATTGGGTTTTTAAAGAGAAGGGAGAATGAATGCTCAGAAGCCAAGTCCTGTGAAGGTGGTGTGTTAACAGAAAAGAATGATTACGTAAATTTGTGCGATCTCTATTCCCACCTGCCTGGCCGAGTGCCTGGTACTGAGCACAGGCCTGACTTGTAACACCAAATAAATAAACCAGGAGAGCATCATCCAGGCAGACCAGAGTTAGCAACACAGTATATATTTGAGGTCATGTAAATATTTTATTTCCTGTTAGAATGTAATTTATTAAGGGTAACTGAAATTTCATCTCTTATATTCCATATTTTTAAATAGATGTCCTGTTTTCTTTTCATTTGTTCTTAACCTTAGAGAATAATTGTATAAAGTTGAGATCAGACACTGCATTCTTTATATGCTGATATTTCAACCTGTAAACATTTTCCATGTTATCACTTATACAAGTGTTGATCATTTTTAATGGCTGCATAATGTTCCCTTGGCAAATAGCATTTCATACTTTCTTAGCCATTCCTGTGTTGGCTAGTTTTGGATTTCTTCCATGAGGTGAATAATGCTCTAGTGAATATATTTGTGCCTAAAATTTTCAGTATTTAAATAACCAAAAGGTTATGTTAGCTTCCCCAAAGTACACTTACTCTGTCAAAGCATATCCACATTTTGAAAGTCATATTGTCTCCCAGATGGTCAGCACAGCAGATTCTTGAATAACATGGTCTCATCCAGCAACCTTTTGCTATAACATTGTCATAGCAAATATAAAATTTATTATAGCATACAGAGAATAAAGCCACTGTCTATGTGGCTTTCTCTGGGTACTCCAGTTCCCTCCCTCATCCCAAATCCTCATCCTCAACCTAAAGTGCACCACTGGGTTCATGGACATGCTATGCATTGCCCCATTCTGTGACTGTGCAGGGGAGTGTGCCCTGCACTGGAAGGATGTGCTGTCCATGGTTGGTCCCTGCCTTGCCCATTGGGCTGCTATGATGGCCCATTGTTCCCTGCTTCCTGAGAAGCAAAAGTGGGTAGCACAATGAGTAAATACAAATTGTTTCCTATTAAGAGTGTTTGGGGGTCTTTATTTAGATGTTTGGTGATTTTTTTTGTGATCAAAGCTATGACATAGGAGATTAACTCTCGTTTATATCAATTAGCCTATGTTGACCTGGTTTCATTACACATTACTTTGCTTAAAATCACACTTTCCAAGAACTTTTCAACATGTTGAATTCTTACTGTACTGATTTCTGTCTATGGGTTTTGCACTGACTGTGTGCTGGTGTCTTTGTGCACTTATATCCTTTGATCTTTGGCTTCCCATATCTCCCAACTTAGTGTCCTAATCATTTTAGGGAAAACCCCCCAGTCTGTGGCTGAGGAGGTGGAGTGGCAGAAACCTCAGAATCTTATTTATAAATTATCATGGTGTCTGTCCCCAAATAAAGACTTCAAGTGATTTTTTTTTTTCTGGTAATGTACTAAGTGATGATAGCTAAATACACACTGCCAATGGGCATCTATTTTGAAAAATAGGAAACTCTAGAATTTTCCAAATGCCAACATTTGTTCAAGATGACTGAGAAATGATAAGGCTCCTTTAAATCTTAGTAGCTATAATTTTGGTTGTGGGGAAATACAGATGACAATGTAGATGCAATCTCCTCTGAGCAGAAGGCCTAGGGACAATTTCTCCTTGATCACCCAGCATGTGATGAGATTATATTTAGTGAATGAAATTAATTCAGAAATACCTGAAGCAGAATTTTTAATTTTTAATTTCTTGAGCTAATCATGTGGTATTTTCTATAGACCCTTGACGGATTTACACTGGTCACACCTCCATAAAAATTATTTTAAAAATTGTTTCATGATTCAAAAGCAGATAATTTGGATTCTTAATTTATGTTACCAAATATATAATGCGTATTTTAACACAGAAAATATGAAGGTTTTATTGAAATCCTTGGTTATAAATCCTGGTGCCTAATGACTTTGACCTTTAGGAGACTTATCTAGTAAAAAAAATAATCATAGACAAAACAGTTTAGTGATTATTCTAACTTAAAAAGACTAACAGGGTTAGCATCGCCAGACCTGCTTTTGAAAAATTATTTTGATAATCAAGACACTTACTGACTTGTACTTATTTCTCTGTCTTTTTCCATATAAATTCTGCACTTTTTAGATATAGCAATTTTGGCAACAATTCCTATCATTCAAGACCTTCATCTGGATCAGCTGTGCCCTCTGCCCCCACATCGTCTCTTTCACCCCCTCAGGAGGCCAGACTGGAAAGGTGGGTTTTATAAGAAGTAAGCTGATGATTCACTGTTCTCAAGGGAAGGGAATCAGTTTGAGTAATTCAGGAACAAGTATAAATAACAAAGATAATCTGAAGTATTTTCCTTTACAGAATATAGTCAAAAAGCAAGGATATTTTCTCTTTCACACTATTTGCTTGTATGCTATATGCTAAGTACATACTTTCCATAGAAAGTATAAAAATTCTAAAATATTTAAATGTGAGTATTTTGATTCACCACTTAAAAACTGTTCTGGATTTTATGGAAGCTCTGCAATTTGTCTTTTACACATCAGTTTTCACCTTGAATGATTAATTCTATGTAAATCAGGAGGTATTGGGCTCATTAAGGGGTTGTGTAATTAATCCAGGACCTACCAGAAGAGAAAAGAATCATATAGGGAGTACGTGGAAGGAATTTAACTTGGCAGGAGTATTAGACCACCAGAAATTAACTGATTATCACTCCAACTAGGGAGTGATTGCGTAAGAATGTGTTTACAAGGGAAAGGTAAGATCTGTAATTTTAGGACAATTAAAGCTAGCTATCCTTATAGGGCAAGAGTGCTAAGTTAGAGAAGACTGGGTAGGGTTCCAACTCACTCACTTGGAAGTTATTTAATCCCTAAGGCTAAAATGTCGATTATGCCAACCCTTACCTTAGAGGGTGGTTTCGATGAGCAAATGAAAATATGCACAGGAAAGTGCTGCATGAACCCACCCCCCCCTGTGGCTCCAGGGGGAAGTGAGAATGTGTGGGGACTGGCTGTAACTTCAGCAGCTCCTGACTGATCATAGTCTAGGCCTTCACAGTTCAGAGATCATTTGCTTCAGTTCCTGAATTTAAACTGAATTCTGCCTGTATTATACATTCTGATCATCTCCTATATATTCTGAAGTGTATTTTGCTGAGTGCTGCAGGTGATTTAGTTAGGATGTAGAGCAGGCAGGCGAGACCTGACATCCCCAGGAACGGCTATTCATGGGCCCTGCTTGGCCACAGGTCACCGTTAGTACCCTGGACAGCATGTAAATCCCCCAGTGTCACACTCTCGGGATCTACTGCCCAGCATGACCCTGGGTTGGGGCATATACAAGTTCAGTTAGGTCTTGATAATAAGGTAACAAGTTGCTCCTCCTGAAGACAGCCTCTCTCCTCTACCTGAGGGCATCTCTTCTTGACATCAGGTGGCCTGTGCTCCAGAACAGTGACCCATAGAGGGTCCTTGTCATGTGGGATGTGAGATTTAGGGCCAAAATGAGGAATATTAGATTGGATGAAATTATATTGCATGTCTCACATCTGCCCAGGGGTCAGTTCCTCAGGAGCTGGAACCAGACTCCATTGGTTGCCGTCCCCCACAGTACCCAGGAGCTGGCTAAGGGGGAGCTAGAATAAATGCCGGTTGAGGGACTGGGTGAATTATCCCACTCATTGACTGGGGGACAGTTTGGAAGTCCCTGAAGTTGAAGAACTATTAGGCCTGGAGGTCCACAGGTTTCCGGAGCCCTGGACTTCGGGGAAGTTGTTCCCAGGTTTGAAGGGAAAGTCCCGTCTCTTCCCACACCCTGACCCTTGGGCACCCAAATTAAGGCTTGTATTAGAAGGGCTAGGAGTACAGGTTCCTCTGCTCCATGCAGTTGGGTATCCCCCAGGGGGAATTAAAGTAGGAAAGGTGGGACTGCATCCCTCCCCAGAACTCGCCGGGGAGGAGGCTTGTCTCCCTGAGACTACAGTAGCTGTTTGTGTTTGGAAGCTGGCAGTGTGCTGTCACAGAACAGTGAGTGGAGCCCAGCAGGGCAAGGCTGCAAGATAGGGACCAGCAGAAGCCTTCTCTGGGTCCAGGGTGACCATGACCAAGAAGAGCGGCCATGTCCAGAAGAGCAGAAGCTAGGGAAGCAGGGAGAGTGAGTGAGTGAGTGAGTGAGTGAGTGAGTGAGAGAGAGAGAGAGAGAGAGTTCAGGCTTGTGCAAGCATGTGAATGTTACACATAAGACCTGAGACAGAGGGCCTCCCTGGTGGCGCAGTGGGTTGAGCACAGCACTGTGAAGCTGTCCGCAGCCTCTGCAGCAGGGGTTTGATTCCCGGCCAGCCAGGGAGAACACACATGGTGCGGCAGACATCTCTTGTCTGGCCCGCTGCTCCCCTCAGCAGTGCTTTCGGTCCGTCTGCCTGTTCTGCTCCCCGCTCTGTCTCTGGTGAATCCTCTCACCCTCCTGCACCTCTGGCCTGTGCCCCAGCTATTGTATGAATAAAAATTAAATCTTTTTTTTTTTTTTAAAGACCTGAGACAGAGGATACTGGAAGAAAAGCAAATTGAGGGTGGGGATTTCAGCATGGAGCAGCAAGCATGACAAGTCCATGCTTGTTCTCAGACTCTGAGGGGTTGTGGTCTCATTGGTCTTACAGTTGAAGTCTCCAGGCTGAGACAGGTCCCTGGGGAATAACAGTGGCCGGAGAGCTCCGTCCTCTAAGCTACCTCTCTTACGGTGCTCTTCTGCTACAGGAAATGACAGCTATTGTCATCTGCTGTATCCACTAGTGAGTTTATTGGCCCATATACATTGACATTGTTTGTTTGTTTGTTTTAAAACTATCACCATCTGTGACTTTGAAAAACTTTCAAATGATGAATCATTTGAAATATCAGATGTGCAATTTCTTTATTAAGACCAGGAAACTATCAAACCTGACTGGTTTAACCTCATTACCCCTTTTTTTTGCTCACCTTGCCAGCTTGTGTTGACACTATGAAATAAGAATCAATACACCATCACCTACATACATTATGTCATGTGCACTTGGGATAATATATATTTTCATACAGTTTAATTTGTTCTTTTTCATTTTTTGGCAACTAAGTTCTTTGGCTATCACTCATCTATTTCTCATAAGTATTTTCTGCCCAACTAAGATATATGGTGGTTTTTAGTGAGCTATATCTATTTCATTAGACTTTGTAAAATTTATTGTTGATAATGGGTTTTAGAAACCCATTTATTATTGAAACCAAAAAGAAAAACTTTGTAGGAAAGATACTGAGTTCTATGAGCAGCAGTTATAGTTCTGCCATGAGAATCCATTATCTCTGTCAGCCTACCCTGACTAATAAGCAGCATCCATGGCCCTGTGCAATGCTGGGGAGCTCTAGAACTCCATTCCCTTGACTTGGAAACAAGATTTGCTTCTCTGAAGTCCGAGGAAAATCAGGCCAACTAAAACACCCCTTCAGGCAGGTCAGCCACTATGGAAATACAACTGGGCATCTTTTGAGCTTTGAAGTCTTCGTATTTTTCCCAAACATGCTCATGTGTTAGATGTTAATGAAACTTGGAGTAACAAGTTTACTCCAAATTAACTTAGGAAGGAATAACTGAAGAAACAATATACAAAAATAAGTCAAGGAAAGGGTATTAAAAATAAATCCTTTTCCACATCTCCTATTACAGTTTCTTCTTTAAGACTGTGTTTTAGAGGCAGGGTAGCATTAATTTTCATGTAATTGGAACTTGAGTTGTGCCAAAACAAAACAAAGTCAGAGTGATTCACAGAGGTCTTCCAGGATGTAAGAGGTAACTGTTTCATGAAAGCTGTCTCTTAAAATCTTCTATTTTGAACATGTGATTTCTGAGTAGAAAAGTTCTAAATGTTTTCTTCTTAAAAGAAAACAAAATTACAAGAATATTTGAACAATTCATGTTCAGTTATTCAGATGAAACAGACAAACAATAACCATACCACAAGAAAAACTGTGTCTCTGGGATGTTAGGAAGGACGGGGCTCACTTTCCAATCGTGGGAGGACATCTCCATCTTGTGGGCCTTTTCAGAAATGGTGGCAGCAGGCATGTTTAGTGTAAGGACAGTGGTTACTGAGGGACTGTGCAGGAGCAGCGTGGGGCTGAGGGTGCCTTAAGGCACTTGGTCTTTGTGCTGGGATAGGGGAGTGACTGAGAAGGAGGCCTAACTATACCGTGAAGGTGTGTGAGCAGGTGAGCATGCCAAGTGGTCATGGGAGCGACTAGAAGAAAGCTCAGGCCCAGATTCTAGGGGCAGGGAGGACTTCATGGGAGTTAAAACCTGAGGCATCAGTATTTGCCTTCAGCATTGGTTCTATTCTCTCTTTTTTTTTTTAACAATAGTGCCCTTGTTCACTGACAGTGACAATCACCTGCCTTTTGGGAATTGTCTGCCGCTTGTAATTGTCCCAGCAGAGATTTTCCAACTTCCCGGAAGACTATAAGACCAGATATAAGTAGTGTTAGCTCCTTTGGGAGTAATAGTGAACAATTAGGATGAATAAAAGATTTAACTTTAAATTTGATTTTCTTAAGCTTTTTTATGGGCTTTACGTAAAAACTCCCTTTTCCCCAGCTATCCTGCCCAGAAGCAACCACTCCTAACAATTCTTTTAATGTGTACTCCCAGGGTACGTACATGTTTAATAGAGCTGCACAAATAGTAACACACTATGCAAACTAGAACACATCCTAATCTTTCAATTAAAGATATTCTTAATTCTTTCTTAATCACTTTCTACTACAAAGGATGTTGCAGTTAATTCCTGTACATGTATCATTTTGCACATGTAATTATGTCTAGGATAAGTCCCAAGAAATAGATTTAGTAAATCGAAAACTTCATATGTTTCCAAATGTGATTGATTTTTGCCAAGTCGCTCTTCATGAGGACTATCAGACTTGATTCTCAGCTGTGGGAGAGCTTGTTTTCCCCAAACCTCTGTCAGAGGGCCATTCAATCACACATGGTAGTGAAGAGTTAGATGTCATTAAAGTTTAAATTTGCATTTATCCTAAAGTAAATGTGATTGAGCATGTTTTCAGGTGTCTAAGATCCTTTCATATTTCCTTTCAGTGAATTTTTAGTTTAGGATCATTGACTTTTTCTCTTATTGGAGTATAGAAGTTCCCTATAAATTGATAGGAATAGCAGTTATTTTCCTCAGTCGTTGGTCTTTTTAAAACTTCATGAAT